ACCAGACTTGATCAGTCTGGCGTACCTGCGATTTTTTGAACTTTTGCCCACGCTGTTCCAATCTCCTTTGTTTGATTCCACGGTGGTTCATGATACTTCCCACAAACCATTTCCCTCTGCCGCTTCCAGCTGCCGCGCGCTGACCGCTTGCGAGTGCATTTCAACAGGATGTTCAACAATACTTTGTTGCGGACCCATGCACCTTTCCGTTCCATCGCCTTCCTTCCCATCGTGAAATTGAGTTAACGGACTACAAGTGTCAGAGTGTGTCTCTGTGTGTATGGTCTCTGTGTGTGTGATCTCTGTCTGTGTGATCTCGGTGTGTGTTGTCTCTGTGTGTGTGCCCACTCCTGTTTCCAAGGACACTGCTCTAGCTATTTCTATTCCTATGACTTTTCAGACCTTGTACAGTAGCAGGGGGGTAGCGCACGACTGACAGACACTACCCAACGAAGACACTGTCAGCTCGTGGTGAAGCAATGTGGGACGCCACATTGTGTACCTGCAAAATTTTTAATATACATTAAAGAGCTAATGCATCTTGTTGAAACATTCAAGTGAGCGGACTCAGCACTTCTTTCCGTTGAATCAAGTCAAGTGCTAAGTATTCACCTAAAGGGCTAATGCACACCGCGAAGCAGCCTGAAATCGCGCTCCGCGGAGCAACCTTCTCAAGTGTGTCTTCGCAGCTTCTTCCCACTGTGGTAAGCTGTGTGATCCCTACGGGGCGCCGTTACTGCAAGAACCTTTTCACTCCTCACCGCAGGAGTAAGTCTTCCTGAAGATTTTCTGAAGATTTACTCGACTGAATTTTCCTGTTTGAAATCAGCTTGATTGGAATGTCTCACCTGGCACACGTGAAATGTGACTGCAGAGTTCACTGATTTTTTCACTGAAATATACTGCAGAGTTCAACTGAATCAGTTTCACACCGGAGAAGTCTTTTCCAACTTTTAATTTTTTCACTGCGCCGATTCGGCTTCACTTCGCTCATGAGAGCATTTACCCCACCCTTCACCCCCTGCACCTTTTCTTGGTTTTCTTCTCTTTGCCTTTTCGTTTGTTCCTTCCTTCAGGCTTTTTAGGTATTATCCAGGCTCGTTTAGTCAATGCACGCCCGAACACCCCTTCACCCCCCTGGCAGGAAACAGGAGAGAGAAAAAGAAAAAGAAGAAGAAGAAGACGAAGAAAAAGAAAAAGCAAAAGAACACTGCGCCGCGGCGCTACGACCACGGAGAAACAAATTTGATCCACTTGCTCAGGTGTCCACTTGCTCAGGTGTCGCTTCGAGGAAAAGATGATCCGCCAGCAGAGTTACCTTTCTAGTTGCGCCGTGCTCGGCTCATTGTGTGTGTCCACTCCTGTTTCCAAGGACACTACTCTAGCTATTTCTATTCCTATGACTTTTCAGACCTTGTACAGTAGCAGGGGGGTAGTGCACGACTGACAGACACTACCCAACGAAGACACTGTCAGCTCGTGGTGAAGCAATGTGGGACGCCACATTGTGTACCTGCAAAATTTTTAATATACATTAAAGAGCTAATGCATCTTGTTGAAACATTCAAGTGAGCGGACTCAGCACTTCTTTCCGTTGAATCAAGTCAAGTGCTAAGTATTCACCTAAAGGGCTAATGCACACCGCGAAGCAGCCTGAAATCGCGCTCCGCGGAGCAACCTTCTCAAGTGTGTGTTGTCTCGGTGTTGTCTCTGTGTGTTGTCTCTGTGTGTGTGTGTGATCTCTGTGTGTGTGATCTCTGTCTGTGTTGTCTCGGTGTGTGTTGTCTCGGTGTGTGTTGTCTCTCTGTGTGTGATCTCTGTCTGTGTGGTCTCTGTGTGTGTGATCTCTGTATATGTGGTCTCTGTCTGTGTTGTCTCTGCGTGTGTGATCTCTGTCTGTGTGGTCTCTCTGTGCGTGTTGTCTCGGTGTGTGTTGTCTCTGTGTGTGTTGTCTCGGTGTGTGTTGTCTCGGTGTGGAGGGAGGAGGCGGCGGGAAGCGGGATGAGACATAGAAAAGAAGAACCCCACACTAAGATGTGGGGAAAAAACAAACAAAAGGACAACAAATCAAAATCAAAATCTAGCTCGTGACTCCAAAAGTTGCTCAGCAACATCGTGGTACACTTCAAGATTTGTGCGTGTCATACATTCCAAAAGGATCCCTCTAATTTGAAGGGTCACACACACACGCCTCCCCGAAGGGAGGCGAGAAATTCTAAGGTCTGGGCGATTGTGTACGTGTGTGTGTGTGCGCAGTAAGACAAACGAGTGAAGACATGAAAAGAGGACAAGACGGGACAAAGGTGTGTGTGTGTGTGTGGTTGCGATGAAAGGGAAACCAAGTGCACAGGGACAACCGATGCAAACCCACCTCATTGTAAAGACCTGGGCGACCTAAAACCTGTGTTTAAAGTACGTGTAGATGTGCGCGTGCACACTAAGGCCAGGCCAGCTGCGTACGCAAACGAAAGAAAGGATGAGATGAAAGACGCAAACCGATGAAAGCTAAACCTCATTGAGAACCTGTTGCCAAGACCTCGTTTGAGTGTAGGTACACTGTGCGTGAGTGAGGGAGGGAGGGAGGGAGGGAGGGAGGGGTGGGGAGAGAAATGAGAAAAGAAGGAGAAAACGACGGTGTTCCCAACTACGACACAAGCGCCCAAGGACACACCAAGAGAGGAAGAAAAGGGTTCCCAGCTATGACGAAAGCAACCAGGGACACCCAAGCAAGAAGGAAGGGGAAAGAAAGGAAAGAGAATTATACAAGCATAGACCCCAAACAGTTTCAAAACGATTCGTTTAGACCAATATTAGTCAAAAATCGATTTCTTGGTACGCCCTACTTTCACCCCAAGAGCAAACTGCTTCATCAATGAATTTTTGTCGGCATTGACATCGCTATTTGTTCGGCCACACTCCTCTCCAGTAAGCCGGGCCACAGAGACCAGCCGCAGAGTTCAGGGGTGTGGCCAAGACAAGGACAAGAGAAGGACAAGACCCGGACACAGAGCCGGGCCACAGAGCCCAGCCACAGAGTTCAGGGCGCGGCCAAGACAAGGACAAGGGGAGGACAAGAAGAGGACAAGGGCCGAGCCACAGAGCCCAGCACAGAGGACAAGAGGAGGACAAGAGCCCAGTAAGCCGTCCATAGCACACGAGAGCGCGCGCCGCCCTGCTCTCTTTTTTTCTTACTTACTTACTTACTTACTTACTTACTTTCTTTCTTTCTTTCTTTCTCCCTCTCTCTCTCTCTCTCTCTCTTTCACTTTAAGTTTATCTTTCTCTGGCTTTCTCTCTGAAGAGCTCTGAGCGCGCCTTTCTGGAGCGTATGTCAGAGTGCGCGCCACAGAGACAGAGCCCAGCCACAGAGTTGACAGAGTTCAGGGGCGCGGCCAAGAGGAGGACAAGGCCTGGACACAGAGCCCAGCCACAGAGTTGACAGAGCCCAAAGGCGCGGCCAAGAGGAGGACAAGGCCTGGACAAAGAGCCCAGCCAAAGAGTTGACAGAGTTCCGGGGCGCAGCCAAGAGGAGGACAAGAGGAGGACAGAGCCCAGCCACAGAGCCCAGCCACAGAGTTGACAGAGTTCAGGGCGCGGCCAAGACAAGAGGGCCAAGGAGGACAAGAGGAGGACAACGCCCAGCCACAGAGAACAGCCACAGAGTTGACAGAGTTCAGACTTGACAGAGTTCAGGGGCGCGGCCAAGAGGAGGACAAGAGGAGGACAGGGTCCAGCCGCAGAGGTTAGCCACAGAGTTGACGGAGTTCAGGGGCGCGGGCAAGAGGAGGACAAGAGGAGGACAAGGCCCAGCCACAGAGCCCAGCCACAGAGGTCAGGGGCGCGGCCAGTGAGTGTGGCCAGCTCTTTTCTTTCTAAGGTAGAACCCCAACAGTAAACTGTTTGGGGAAAAGAGAGAAAGAGAGAGAGAGAGAGAGAGACGAAGAAGGAAAGAGCAGCTACGAACAAGCGTCCAGGGACACACCAAGGAAGAGGGGGGTGCGCCTGAGTGTTACATTCAGGAACACCCCAGAAGGCAAAGTTCCAATGAACCCTGAGCAAGCTTTGGTCGCTGCGACCACGTACGGCCTGCCCGAAGGCTGCCACCTTTGACCGCTTCGGTCACGTAAAGGCATGAGCCAGCTTGGAATTCAAGAAATCGACAAAATCTGAGTTCTCTCGGCCTACACCACCTACGCCCGCTCTGGGCACGTACATCTCCGGGCAGGGGAGATAAAGACAAACACCCGCTCGACGTACGGATGTGATGCCGTGCCACACGCCAGCCTGAGTTTAAAAAAACCTGAGATGCCAGGAGGATAGGTAGGAAGTAAAGGCCTTTGCTTTTAGGTTGGAGGTCATCGCAAGGCCGTTGGAGGTCAGCGCCTAAGGTTGGAGGCCGTCGCTAGTAGGTGGCAGGTAGTACGCACAAGCAAAACAAAAGTGACAAGTAGTAGGTTAAAGGCCATCACGGTTGGAGGTCCTTGCAAGGCCGTTGGAGGTCAACGCCTGAGGTTGGAGGCCGTCGCTAGTAGGTGGAAGGTAGTCGGTGGTCGCCAGTGAGTTGGACCAGCACAACGAGTTTACCACAAGTACCTGTGCCCACTCCAACTCTGCAGACTGAATAGGAAAGCATCCAGTCTGACAGAGTGGACGCGCTGGCCCTAAGGGCAACCGGCGTAGAAACTACTAGAAGGACACCAAAAATAGGAAGAGGCCATAGCAATGAGGTGACGGGTTAGGAGGCCCACAAGACACAAAACAGCAAAAACAAAAACAAACAAAAAGACAACAAATCAAAATCAAAATCTAGCTCGTGACTCCAAAAGTGGCTCAGCAACATCGTGGTACACTTCAAGATTTGTGCGTGTCATACATTCCAAAAGGATCCCTGTGATTTCAAGGGTCATACACACACACACACACTCATGGACCCATGGATATGCGTTTTTCTACACGGGCCAGAGACTGAAGCTGTGGAAGAACATGAGTGGTTGGTCGAGGTACCAGGAGGCTAACGGAGTTTCCTGAAGCAGCAGTTCGGTGGCCCAAAGTGCCCGAGTGTTTGAGTTCGCATCGCTTTCAAGCGACCTTAAACTTAGGCGGAGAGTCTTTTGCTGATGGGCTTTGTTACGCTTGAAGTACCAGACATCGAGGCAGCCAATTGGCCAGTTGAAAGCTCTCACTCGCACACTTTGCCGTGCCATCCTTCATCATCTTTCTCACGTGTTCTCACACTATGGAAGGGATGCAGCCACAGCTGCGTGTTGTTTCATTGGGGCAGCAGCTATCCGATGCTATCCACGAATCACAGTTTGGCAAGCAAGTCAACCACAATCAACCTGGAGGTGGCTATGAGTTTCTTTGTCAGTGGGCTGGGTGCGAAAGAGGGTGCAGAGGAGAGCAGATCCGCCGAAGATAGTTTGGAAGACTAGCTGGGCTATGCTGCGTTGCAGGATACATGTTGGAAAAGACTCCCAAGTTTTGAGCCAGGTTGATGGAGCCAAAGTAGTTCAAATTGGTGCCAGTCAGCTGCGGTTGGTGTTAATCCCTGAGCTGCTCACAGCTGTGGGTTCATATTGGCAAGCGAATCTCACCGCTTTGTTCCAGTGCTTCCTAAAACTGTTGACTCAGGCCAAGTGGAAAGCGTGCGGACCTGGCAGCTTGAGCCCTGAGCACGCTTTGTAGCACTGTCGCTTTGTTTAGTAGCGTCTTTGCAGTGTTTTTCCTACATCATACAAATGCATTGCTTTTAAACCCTGTTTGGACCATGTTGGGGATTTGATCCCGGAGTCTAAACGGAGAATCTGACACCTGTGGCACGTGATATTTGGAGCAAACTTTTCGGTAAATCAAGTACTATGTCGACGAAGGCCTGGCCTGGGCAGTTCTACGTGTGGGTTTCGGCCTCGGCAAATGGGCTTCAGTCAGAAGTTGAATGTCAAATTTGCCGATTGTTTTGTTTCGATTCTTTTTCCGGGGGGAGAAGCTTCCTTGAGGAACTGAGCTTATGCATTCTTGTTGCGAACAACTTCAAGCTTGTATACTACGGAACACCTTACAGCCTATCCCCACCAGAACAAAAACCTTAACAAATAAGATCAAAAGAGTAAAAACAACCATAATAGGCACATGTTTGCGTTCCTTTCGCTTTTTCTTCTTTACCTTTGTCTCCCGGAAGGTCGAGGATTCAAAGGCCACATTGTCGTCATGCAGGAGCCCAAGATGTGACGCTAGAAGACATACAGCCACGTAGGCCACGTAGGGTTTCACACATCGGTGGACCTTTTCCAAGATGCAGACAGATGAAATCACATGACCCTCTGACATTCTGCTTTGTTGACTCGGTGAAGGCCAGTCCTTGGAAAAGTCCACCGCCGAAGTGATTCAAGAAGTGTACCACATCAAGGCTGATCCAGATAAGAATTCGATGGTGCCTTGTTGGCTTGCCCAACCTATATATTTATAAAATATTTGTCGAATTGCTTGCATGGAGAACTGTCAAAAGACCAAGATGTGCGGGTCACTGGAAGTTGCATATTATAAGCCTGTGAAACATTCCAGCACGAGTGAGTTGAGGATCGACAGAAGACAGAGCAAAGTTCTGTGGACTTAGGAGGAAGATCCGATCGTGTCCCCTTTGTTCGCTGGGAGGAGGAAGGTGCAGCAGACGCTATATTGCTACAAGATCCCGCTGGCCAAAACAGCTTCGTTGTGAATCAGGCAGACCTGATTCATGCGGCAGCGTTGAAAAGACTTGGAGCGACCTGCTGCCGTGAACCCCGCATCCAGGAGCGTCGTTCAAACAAAGACCAGATGGAGCGCACGATAGAGCATGTTTGATTCTATTGGTACAGTTTCCTCTGCACTGGCTGTCCTGCGGTGCAAAGTCTTTTGATACCGAATAATCAGGACGATGTGACGACGTAAAGAAGACTGGAGCAACATGCACCCAACACTCCCCGGCAGCTGAAACAGACCTGTGCAACTTAAATAGGATCGACAGGGCTTAGCGATGCTTTCATGTTTTTCAAGTGTTGTTGTGCAAAGTTCATGGGAGGCAGAGCAGGCCACAAAATCTGCTGGTGTGCAATCGTCAAACAACTACGCCTCTTTCGCCCGGAGCCAGCAGTGTGCAGCAAACCCCTTACTTACTTACGCGAGGCCTAAGATAAACTTGCATTATATTATATGAGCACCTATCAAAACCTGTGCTAGCTATAATTGCATGTTGGTTGTGCTGATTCACAAAATCATCGGAAACCTTCAAGAACGATAGGGTCGGGAACACAAAACGATACCCTGCTTCTCATGTCCACTACCACATGTAAGAGGTTTCGATCGCCGCTCATATAACTTGAACATGAATTGGGCTGGCCCTTCATCTCTCCGGTTGGAGTGGCCGGCCCAGACAAGAAGCAACCACACCACAGGGAAGCTCAGGATGGAGGCATTCTCTGACAATCCAAATGAACCATGCTCACCAAGTCACACGAAGTTCAGTTGGACTGAGGTGTGGCCAAGCTCAACCGAGAAGGGCCACATTGCAACACTCCACTTGGGTGCCATTGTTGGACACTCTGGATTTTTGCGATACTGGCATCGAACGACAACTTACATATACAACATGTGTACACCACCTGCATTATTGGCCAAGCAAGCACAAGGCTCCAAATCCATGTCCGACACAAGCCATGAATTATCAGCGACAGGTTTGAGGGGATGATTCAAAGGTACATGAAATAATCGTATATTATTATGTGAGTTCGGCTCTGTGTTGTTTTGACAGGCGCCACTGGGGGGGCATGGCTACGACCATGCGGTCTGTTTTGCCTGGGACAGACAAGGCTTCGGAGTTCAGCAAAAGGAGTTTCCCAGACCACCAGTGACGGAGTGCAAGTAATGCTCGCCTTTGGCAAGTGGTTTTCTAACAAATGCAAGCTTGCAAACTTACGGAATATCACGACATCAGGTGTCCAATACCCTGGCACTCATTGGCCTCACGCACCCGATTGCTGCAGGCAAGTTTTTGATATTTTTTGATGTTGGGAATAGACACCCAGAGAGTACAATTCCGTGTGTGTGTATATAGGTGTGTATATGATTATATGACCACATTGTAATGTATAGTTATATACAGATTCTATAGTTCTTTGCTTGAAGTCTTTGGAGCACTGTGCGAACAATAAGTTTAAACGAGCTTTCATTTGTATCTTTTATTCAGCCGGACGCCTTTGTTTTATGAAACTCGTGAGGCCAAGCAGGTGGTGCCTTGCCCTGAGCCTCACAGATTTCAAGCAGTTCAGTTTGAAGAGCCTTTGTTGGTTTCGTGTAGCAATTCATCAAAAGGCGAAACTTTTTGGAATGCACACTGGAGAATCACTGGAGGTCGTGCGATTCTACTCACAATTCCTGGGAGCTTCAGTGTCGAGAACAAAGCAGGCACAGTGAACGTTGTAACGATAGATGGGCAAGAGAGCTGTGGTATAGTATAGGCTACCTCTCCAATACCTTCAATACCTCCAATACCCAGCTGAAACAGCTGGGGTGAGCATGAACTGCCAGAAATGTGCAGAAAAAGATGCTGCAGACCCGTATTTTGCATTTTGTGACAAAAAGTGAAGCATCTGAATGTTAGAGATCAAGGCCAGAGAGTATGAAGTGAAGAGGAAATAGTCAGACATTTGCAGATTGATGGAACTATAAGAAACGAAAACATACTGTTGATGGATGAAATCCTGCACCACCTCACCACTTTACCCTGGAAGGGTCGCATAGCAACCCCAGCGCCCCTCATTCAATGTTGGCGCGACTCCTCTGAGGAGGTGGTGCAGGATTTTGGACCTTCAACTTGTTTCAATTTTCTCACTGTGGTGGCTCCAATGTTATATAACGAGGGAGAACGAGCAGTCTCGCTTCGTTACTACAGTCTCGTTTCATTACTTTGCTCTACCCAGCTTGTTGTGACAGTCTCTTTTCATTACTACAGTCTCCTTTCACTACTTTGATCTACCCAGCTGGTCGTGTTAGTTTTTTGCGCCTTCTTGCTGGCTGAAGCCACTTGTCTGCTGCTCCGTTTGTTGTTTGCTATCCTTTGTTGGTGTTTTGCTGTCACGTGAAAAGGGATGCTGCGGGGGAAGTACACAGTGCTCCAACAGCGCTCAGAGCAGTGCTCGGAAGTCAAAAACGTGGACAATACAAGCGATTCGGGCAGGAACAAAGTCGGATTCAGAAACTGCACTGTATTCAGAAACTGGTCTTCAGAAACTATTTCGTTGTATTCAGAAACTCTTGTATTCAGAAATTCTTGTATTCAGAAACTATTTCGTCATATTCAGAAACTATTTCGTCGTATTCAGAAACTATGTTCGTCGTATTCAGAAACTCTTCGTCGTATTCAGAAACTACTGTCCCTCATGCTCAGAAACTTTTATTCCCAAACTAGGGCGCGATGTGAACAACCACCTGCGTGGTCAGTTGATGCGTTCTCTTGCGTTCAGGGTGGGGGGGGGGGGTGGGGCTGGGCCCGGGCAGTAAGCTTCCGCGCATTGTTGAGGCGGGTGGCGTTGTCGAGTTTCCGAATCCAAGCGGCCAGTTTCCGAATACAACGTGGAGTTTCCGAATACAGCCGTCTCAGTTTCCGAATACAGCGTCCCCACCCCCTATCTCTACAAAACCGGGGGGGACCCGTCTAAATGTAAGCTACATTTTCAATGTTTTTTTTGGGGGGGAGGGGGGGTCTAAAAAATGTAGCTTTCATTTAGACAGGTCCCCCCCATTTCTGGGTTTTGAGGACCCTTTGCAGGAAACGTCTGAAACACGCTTTGGGGGTGGGGGGAAAAAAATGGTAAAATGGGGGTTCTGGGGAGTTCTCGTTCATCAATCACCTCGTTGAATTTTTTTGCCTCGCTAAAATTTGTGTTGAGGCTTTGTCGTTATTCTCTGGGGGTTTCTGGGGAAAATTTGGAGCTAAAAATCACTCTGTTCGGTGATATTCAACGAGGAGGCTGATTGTTTAGGTTGTTTCGTTTTCTTTCAGGATGGTTTCTGTTCGTTAGGAAGTTCGTTCTGTTTTTTGTTGTTGCTGTTGCAGTTTATGTTTTGTTCAGATGAGGCCACATATATTCTGCTCAATGCATAAACTGTTTCAGTTTTTTTGGCGGACTGCCCAACGGAACTCCGTCCTACTCTCAATCTTTGTGGACTTCAACGGCTTCTTCGTAATTTTCATGCCGGGTTTCCCAGAGTGCAGTGGGTGCGCTTGAACAAAAAGTCCCCTCCTGCTTTGCAAATGACATTGTGGCACTGGACACAGGCGTTGCCCTAAGAGATTGCACAAAACCAGTTGTGCCTTCGTGAGCAGACATCTAACTCAAGTGCAAATGGTCATGTTTTGCTTTTCAAAATTTCTTTCCCCTCACGTTTGCCATGGAAGAGGATGCTGGAAGGAGTTCAGAGAGTCCAAGGTTGAAGCAGGCACAGGCTGAATTGAAAGAAGCACAGGCTGAATTGAAAGAGGCACAGGCTGAATTGAAAGAGGCACAGGCTGAATTGCAAAAAGCACAAAACGCCTGGCTATCGGCTGCAGATAAAGACAAAGACATCCACGAGAATATTGTGCAGAGTGCTGAGCGGAATGTGCAGAGTGCTGAGCGGATGCGTGATGCTCGGTTGGATGCAGTGAAGCAGATGCAAGGCACCTCAGCTCAATCTTCGGAACATATTCTCGTGAAGAAGCTGGACGAGCTCAAGGAGCAGTGGGCAGAAAAGCAGGAGCAGTTGGCAGAAACGCTGGAGCAGGTGGCAAAAAATGAAGCCCTGCTGATGGAAGCCTTCTTGAACCGATTTACTTTGACACCGGTTTCACACTACTCATCAACCACACTTGATGGTGAGTGGCATAGGAATGCAGTGGAATACTACAACACAAAGAGTTGCCTTGTTCTCCAGAAACTTTTCCCGGAGGACTTTCGTGCGCGGCCGCGGTGGTTATATGCAACGGGTTGGGAGTCAACCTTTCCAGCCGTCGCTGAACACATTATTCCCAAGAAGGGCTGGCAGTTCGTCCAGAATGAATTGGGCATTCAAATCGACAGTGCTCGCAATAGCCTACTGCTTCTTCGCCATTTAGAACATACATTTCAAGATGGAGATTGGTCTTTGATTCCTGTGGGGAGAGACGGCGGAGCGGTGAACTTCAAAATCTATGTCAGCCAAGAATTGAAGGAAACGACCGTGAATTACATTGACAGAAATGGCGGCTCAGAACCGGTTGTTGTGAAGAAGGCGGGGCCGAAACTGAAACCGTTGAAGTTTCGGGACTTGCATGAGCGCGACTTTTGGATCCAGCCACCGCCCTTCCTTCGTGCGCTGTTTTTAAAAGCGAGGATGGCATGGCAGAAGCATAAGGAAGATGATCAGCCTCTGCCCGACCCAGTTCAATTGACAAACGCATTTTCAGAGTCTTGTGACAAATGGAACGATTTCATGGTTGGCAGACTTTTAAGCTCTATCAAGCAGCAGAAGACTGCCGGGGAAACACAATCCCCATGATTTTGGAAGCACCTTCAAAAGACTGTTTCACAGACAGGGTGAATGGAGAAAATCGGCATTCTCTTGCTTCACGAGGACTTGTCAAGCAGACTTTGAGAAGTGGTGTTGTCAAACAACTTTCCAAGACAACTGCAACGATCAAAGCTTTATTTGAATACTAAGTATGAATCAGTGATACCCTGACACCAGTATCCACATATCAATGACACCCAGAACCAAGTATCAATGATACCCACATACCAGTATACAAGTATCAACGATACCCAGAAGCAAATATCAATGATACCCCGATACCAGTATCCAAGTATCAACGATACCCAGAACCAAGTATCAACGATACCTAGAACCAAGTATCAATGATACCCAGATACCAGTATCCAAGTATCAATGACACCCAGAACCAAGTATCAATGATACCCCTATACCAGTATCCAAGTATCACTGATACCCAGAACCAAGTATCAATGATATCCCAAACAGAGTATCAACGCACAAGATGTTGGGGTTCGCATTGCACGACCCATTGGCACAGCACAGAAGCCCTTGGCGTCATTAATTTGACACCATTTGGACTATATCGGTGTCGTTTCCTCAAGCCTTTGCTTGAAACGCCGTCCGTTCCGATGGCATTTAGCACTTTATAAGTCCATCCAACCGACAGTAAAGACGTGTGAATTCATCATCGCCAGCGATAAAAAGTATCCTAACTGGACACTGCTTCTTTCTTGATGTGTCATCGTCGGCACCTGTGCTTTGCCCACTTCAATTTCCTGCGCTTTGCCCACGCTGAGGTTAAGAAGACATCAGGGATAAGAACTTCTTGAAGGGGTGGAGAGACGGGAAACTTCAGAGTTTGACTTCTATATAAGCCAGAATTTGGAGGGAGTGGCTTAACCTAAGAAACTCCAGAGTTTGACACTTGAACAGTGGAACAAGTGGCTTATCCAAGCAACCTCTCAAAGCCCGACATTTGGCAAACACTTCCACTAAATTCACTAAATATAGCGTAGAT